ACAAATCAAAGTGATTTCTGTAGTAAATGAATTGTTATTATTTCTTAAAGATTCAGATTCGAACACTATAAATATTAATGAGGTGTGCGATCAATATTAAAATTTGAGAACTATCTTTAAACAGATAATAACGTCATGTACTTACCCAAATTATTAAAAAAAAAATCACACTCAGTTTTGACTTAGAAAAGCCTTTATTTTAATATTTTATATCCTATTTTATATTTGTCATCCCTGTACAACAATAGTATCTTTAAGAAACTAACCATGACCACACACTTTTGTCTATTAAAATCACTTTCTTTTGTCATTGAAACTTTTTAAGCGATGAAGATTCCGTCACATGAATGGCGTGATAGAACATAGAAGCCGACAAAGCACGTAGATGGGTCATTGATAATTGACTCTAGCTTTTCTATTTGCTTGCTTTGCCTGCTTGCCTCTATATAAACCCAGCAAGAACCAATAAAATAGTCTTGAATTTAACTCCCCTAAAACAAATACATGGCAAATCCAAGATGGGTTTTCGTGTTGATCTTTATCAGCCTTCATCTCTATCTGGGTAGTTGCTTAGTTGCAGCTTCTTTGGAAGACTCGACTGCCCAACAAAAACTTGATAAGGTTCTTGAGCTTCCAGGGCAGGCTTTCGATGTCAGCTTTGCGCACTATGCTGGTTATGTTACCGTCAATAAAAGCTTAGGGAGAGCTCTCTTTTACTGGTTCTTTGAAGCTGCTGAGGATCCTGATTCCAAGCCTCTTCTCCTCTGGCTCAATGGAGGTTCTACTTTGAAAAATTTTAAGATTCTTGTGTCGTTTTGACTTTATGCTTTTTTTGTAGCATTTTTTGACTAGTTTTAGACAGGTGGTGTTGACTCTTTTACTTGTTTATTAGCTGATTATAGTATAAATTACCAATTTTGCCTGATTGTTCCTTGTATTTTTTAATAACTGGTCGCTGCTTTTATGATTTCATTGTGTTCTTTTTTTTCCTGTATACTTACTTAGAGCTTTATGTCCACAGGACCTGGATGTTCATCCATTGCTTTTGGCCTAGCAGAGGAAATAGGTCCATTCCACATTAGGCCAGATGGGAAGACCCTTTACATGAACCCTTACTCTTGGAATCTAGGTAATCACTTCCTTAAAAGTTCATTGTGGAAGTTGGTGTAAGAGATGAAATTGTTTTACTTCATTTGTTGAACCTCTAAAATGATGTTGTAGTCTATTTATTACATAGAAGAGAATTATCTGCTTATGGTGAACCTCTAAATGATGTTTATGTTGACACAATGCTATTTGTTTAAATCTATGGCAAGACTCAGCTTGGGGATGTGAATGATAGAAATATTACTATATCAATTGCATTGTTACAAGGTTCTTCTACTGCTTTGCAGCTGCAAACATTCTATTTCTTGATTCTCCTGTTGGAGTTGGTTTTTCATATTCAAATACTTCCTCCGATTTGCTTAACAACGGTGATAAAAGTACCGGTAAGGCTCGTGCATTTCTACTTCATAGCTTCGTTTGAATCTCTTTTTTATTTTGGCTAGCTTGTGCAAGTATACCTTCTTCCCCTTTGACATACAGCCAAGGATTCGCTGAATTTTTTGCTGAAGTGGTTTAAGCGCTTTCCTCAGTATAAAGACAGGGATTTCTACATTGCTGGAGAGAGTTATGCAGGTATATAGTAATTTCTCATTTATATTTCTTTATATATGGCAAAGCACAATTTCTTTTTCTTGGAATATGAAAGCTCAGCGAGTGAAACAGATGGGAATAATGAGGTTTCCTAGCTTTGTTATACAAGCCAAATAACATGCAGTTCTTCTTTCGAGGACCATGGCTAAGTCAACATTAATCAAGATTTATTTTCTCTCTCCTCACGTTAAAGAATGTGTTGCAGGGCATTATGTTCCACAGCTAAGCCAAGCCATTGTAAGATACAACAAGGCCACCAAGGCAAAAACAATTAACCTAAAGGGCTATATGGTATGGATTCTATTCTTTAAAGAAGTTTTACATTATTTGAGCAAATTGAAACATAGATGTATATGTAATATGCAGGTCGGAAATGCTTTAACTGACGATTACCATGACCATTTGGGGCTCTTCCAATTTTTGTGGTCAGCTGGCTTGATTTCCGATGAAACATACATGCTGTCGAATGTACTGTGTGATAATGAGTCATTTATTCACTCCTCAAGTGCTTGTAATGGCATATTGGATGTTACAAGTGAAGAAATGGGAAACATTGACCCATACAGCATCTACACTCCCTCCTGCTCTGCCAATTCTAGGCAGGCGAAATGGCTGCTGAAAAGAAGGCTTGTGAGTACATACACTTCATACTTCTACATCTTCACGTTTTAAGTATCTTTTTCCTCTTCTTTAATCAGTTAAAATATATTTTTAATTGAACTTTAGGTATAATAAGCTTTGACAGCATTCCAGTTAAACAATGCCGAATGGATTCAATCATCATACCCATATTTTTTTTATAAGTTTCTCTGGGACCTAATAATTCTCTTTATGATTTTGTCTCCAAACTGTAGCTCCATTAAGCTGCCTAGGGTTCATGGGCTGGGGAACGCATTGGCCAGAACAAACCAGAATTAGCAGAAATCATAATTTATAAAAGACGTGATTGTTTGCTTTCCACTGAATTCGAGGGTATTTGATATTTATTTGTAACCATGTTAAGGAAATTTGATATTATCCAACAGATGGTTGGCCAGCTCAGTGAGAAGTATGATCCTTGCACTGAGAAGCACTCAGAAGTATATTTCAATCGACCTGAGGTTCAAAAGGCACTTCATGTTTTACCTGAAGCTGCACCATCTAAATGGGAGACATGCAGGTGCGAAGTGTTTTTTGTAGACTCGAATTTTTTTCATTTAGCAAATGTAACCATACCACCTGACAAAGAATGTTCCAGCTTTAGTCCTTTATAAAACTTATAGTTTCCAAAAGATGCATTGAATCTTGTTGATATGGCATGGTTTGCCTTTTGTAAAGTGAATTTGTGACCTTCGAAATTTTACCATGAGTAAACCTAAACCAACTCCTGTTTGACAACATACATGGAGACGTTGGCCTCTAAACGGGTTTCCTTTTCTTTATTTTTCATTTTTTACAGTGAATTCATATATACCAACTGGAAGGATTCTCCATTAACTATGCTGGATGTTTACCATGAGCTTATACAAGAAGGACTTCGGATATGGATATTCAGGTTTATCTCTAAATTTGTGATGTTGCGTTTCTATATGGCAAGCATGCTTCTGGATTGGGTAACAAAAGGTCAACAACCGTATGTGCTTTACTGTTTGAAGCAATGGATGAATAGAGGAACTAACAGTATATCATTTCAGTAACCTTTTTCCTTCTGTAATCTTTTTTCACCGTTTGTAGGTAATTTTTACTGCATTATGTCATTGATTTCTAAATTGATTGGAGTGAAAGGAGTGTACATCATATAAGTTGGTGAAACATCTTCATGAATATATTTAGAGCAAGTGGAATCCTCCTGTTAACTTGCTTAACTCATAGCTAGGAATTATAGGATTGAAGAGTGAAATTAAAAATCCTATTGATAAACTTGACGATCAAACTTGCCTTGGTACAACAATGTTCCATGTATCCTGATTCGAAGTGAGTGTAGGATTCAAGTATACATCCGACACGAATATGTTCTTTATTTTCTAGGTTCTTTCAAATATTTATAGAACCATTTTCCATACCAGTATTTGAATGTGTCAGACACAAGTAACTTAAGAAAAACGAAGACTCCGAGTAAGATAGTTAATAGTGTCAATTTGGAATTAACGAGATCGGTGTAAGATTATGAAGTGAATAATAAGGCATACCTCAGTAGTATTTCCGGATGAAAAGCTGATGGAAAGTGTTCCGACTTAGAAACCATGGTTTCTGGCGTAGTCGGATCGCAACCACCTTTAACAGGTGACATTCAATAGGTTTGAAGACCGGATCCCAGCCTTTCCCATATTTTGAAGCTACAGCTCTTTTGCAAAAGAAAAATGTTACTGCTAAAACACTTAGCAATATAAGACTGCATTTCTTTATGTAAAAATAACAACTCGTCTTTTACGTAATTTGGATCATGGATGCATTTTTTTCTTTTCTTTTTTGGAAATAAGTTCAGACACTTTTACTCGTACTCTACCTCCATTATTGACAGTGGTGACACGGACGCTGTGATCCCAATTACATCCACCCGCTACAGTATAGATGCTCTCAAGCTTCCAACTGTGAGCCCATGGCGTCCATGGTATGATGACGGCCAGGTAATTTACCTTGAAATACTTGGATTTGTTTCATTACCATAATTACACACGTAAACAAGTCATTTTCAGTTTGAAATACTTTTGACAGTAACTGGTAATAGTCGCTACAGCGGTAACTCGGTAGTGCTCGTGGCATTTTTGTTGACTAACACAAGTGGGTAATGAATGAACAGGTAGGAGGATGGACACAAGAGTATGAAGGGCTCAACTTTGTTTCGGTGAGGGGAGCCGGACACGAAGTCCCTTTGCATAGGCCGAAACAAGCTCTCACTCTCTTCAAAGCTTTCTTAGCAGGAACCGCCATGCCTGTTGCTGCCTCTGGCTCTCGACAACTCATCAGTGACTCCTGAATTCTGGGTTGGTTTCAATAAATGCCTTCTCAATAACTTATCTCTATTCATGGAGATGTGATGGCCAATCCAAAAACCTCTTTCTTTCCTTCCTCAGAACATGTCCTATTCAATCAAACAAGTTTCAATTGAAATGTGAACTTTGCTGAAATGGTTTAATTGCAGCTTCGCCGCTTTTAGCATTTAACATCTCGTGAAGTATATTAGAAAAATCATATCTTTATATCTATATCAAACATAAAAATCACCCTATTAAGAAAAAAAGCCCTTAGTATCTTAAACTTTATCATAGACAAATTACCCCTAATTATGCAGTCGTGACGATGATCATAGTATAACACTGTTATTTTTTAATAATATAAGTCTTAAGATTCTATTTTAAAGATAATGTTATAATTGTTACATTAGGAATAGCACCAACACCCACCAACCCCCTTCAGCAACCTGCTTACCCTTACTTGACACAACCATATAAACCATCATCACCAGCCTTCTTAGAACATTGCTCCCCTAAATGGCCAAAAATGTTGCAATGAGCACACCTAGGAGGAGCCCAATCCAAATCCACACTAACTTCAACCCTATTCCCTTCACTCAGCTCAACCAATACCGACCCTGGAAAATCAACCTTAGCACCAACTTCAACAGCAAAATCCAAATGTTGCTTTAAAGCAGTAGTTCGATCCGTGTAAAGCGGCCTCCCCAGTGCACTAGCAATATATCCAAGTCCCTCCTGAGAGTACAGCTCTAACGGCACATGCCAAAGCTTAAGTCACACCGGAGCACACTCCAAACTAAGCACATCAGACACCATCCCAGGCATTCATTTCCTTTCCTCAAAAACAATCACTTTCTGCTGAATATTCCATGACCCTGATTCTAGGGAAATTTAGAATGTACACAGAAGGCTTCACCAAAAGTTTCCCATCCCGTTCAACCGGGGGAAAGAAAGACAAGAGATTGATTAATGAACAAAGATTTACATTCCTTACCTGGAGCAGGAGACGCCTTAGGAGAACCCAAACCAGCTTCCAAAGACACCACTCCACCCTCACGGAGTCCCGAACCAGTACCAGAAAGAGCAGCAGCGCCTCCTTCAACAGCAGTTCCCAGCGATGGAAAATCTCCCAAACCTCCCAAATCCAACCTCCCTACCTCACTATTAGGAGCAGGAAACGCCGTAAGAGAACCCAAACCAGCCAAACCACCCTCCCGGAGCCCCGAACCAGAACCAATCGAGCCTCCATCAATAGCAGTTCCCAGCGGACCCCCAAAAACCGAACTCCCTGCCTCACGATTACAGCCTACAGGAAGCGGATCCACCATGAAACAGAGCAAGAAAAAACCACAAGAGAAGAAATAAGAAACAACAAGCAGGGCAGCAAATCCCGATCAAAAACCCAATCGGTTCCAGTCCACCGAAAATGCCCAAAGCTTTAAGATCCAAAACAGAATCGTCGCAGCAAACAAAGCAGAGCTTCCTTCAAAACGTGGGTTTTTTTAATGTTCACCAACCCACCATGAACAAAGATAAAGCAATCCACAAATCTCAGCAACAAAACCAAGCAGAAAGAAAGCAAAAAATCAAGAAAAATCACGAAGAACAGTGGTAAAAGCCAAAAAGGCTCTTGAGGCGCAAGTTAGACACGGTAACTTCTCCGACAAGTTTATTTAAGAATATGTCATTTGATATTTTAAATATATATATTATTCCATTTTTATATTTTACATTATTGTTAACCATTTCAAATAAGAGTTGATGGTAAAATGATGACAGTTCAAAGTTTATGTTTGGATCTACAATATTTATTACGCTGAACAGTTAATCTCTGTATCTGCCCATAATCTGTACCTGGCTGACTGTCCACGCCCAAAAATATATATTAAATGAAAATGAAAACGCATGTCCCTGTATAATCTATATTTTAAACCTAAGATTATCTTATGAAGATCTCCCTAAACCGACGCATCATCCACTAATTCTCCCAGTTTCTCAAGCAAACAACGTTAGCCTAAGGGTGCGATTGGTTTATTGAATGTAGCATTATTTCCGGAAATAAGATTATCGAAATGTAATATTATCTGATACATTACTGAGAATGTTACATTACTGTGTTTGATTTGTTTGCCAGGAATGTAAAATTACATTGTTTGGTTGAAGGAATAAGAGATTACTAGAATATATATTTTACCAAATTGTCCTTGTTCTATATATGTTAACAAGTAGAATTCTAAATATTTAAATGAAAATATTTATATAAAAAATCATCGAAAATATATTTCTTTATTATTTTAAATTTATATACTTTTTAATAAAATGTATATATATTTTTTTTATAAAATTTAAAAGATAAATGGGTAGAATAAAAGAGTAAATATATCATGTATTATTTTAATTATAAATAATATTAATTTTTATATTATTTATCTAAAACTATATTATCATTTTCTTAAAAAGTTGATTCACTCGTCTAATTAAATTGGTGCAATGTTCTGATCAGGAGAGATTATTCAACGAAATTAAGGGAAAGAAATTAAGTTTAAAGATATTGTTTTATTATTTTATTTATTTATTTTAATTAAGTTTGTAAAATTTGAATTTAGTTAAATTGAATAAATTTGTTGAGATGTTATTTAAACCTGAGTGTAATTAAATATAATGTTACAATATTGATTGATTTCAACTTAAAAATAATAATTTAAAAAGAATTATAGTAAGAAGATCAAATTAAATATAAAGTATAAATTTGAGGAATTAAATTAAAAAAAACCATTGTTGTGAGAAAATTTGAAGTTACACGTTATAATTATAGGGGTTGAAGACATGCTGTTGAGTTAATCGATCGATGGAATCGGCCAAGAGGGAGTGAATTGGCAATAAAAATTTTGGTGGAAGCTTTTGCAGAAAATTGAAAGTAATTGCACTGCGATTTAGAGTGGTTCGACTTTATCAACCAAAGTCTACGTCCACTACCTTAGCTATCCACACTAAGGATTTTCCAACAGATTCACTAATTTGTTATTTCTTTTAAGGCCAAAGAGATAATCTTACAACTCCCTCAAGAATATACCCCAATTCTTGAGAACACTCTTTTCTCAAAGAGAATATTACAAATTTGCAAACTTACAAGAAAAACCTCACAAGGCAATTATGTTTGCACAATTCTAGAACAAAGAAAGAACACTCAATAATAAATACAATTGAGCACAATAAGTGTTCTTGAAAGCAAGATGAATATTGAATGAAAAATAGGCTTGAAATGCTCAAATTTGAGGTTTGATACTTTCTCTTTGATTCTCTCTTGATTCTAGTTGCTTGTTGTTTCTTGTTGTTGATCAATGGCTTCTAAGCTTGTTTAAATACACCTTGAATCACTTCTGAACGTTGGGGATGATTAGTGGAGTCAATAGAGTCGTTTAAGTGCGAAAACAATTAATTAAAGCAGTTGGGAGCGTTAGTGCATCGATGCATACTCATGGTGCATCGGTGCATCAGTGTAAAATTCAAATATTTTGACCGTTGGATCCTTAGTGCATCGGTGCACTAAGAGTGCATCGGTGCACTAAGAGTGCATCGGTGCACTAAGAGTGCATCGATGCATCAAGTGCATTCGATGTTTCAAAATAGCCAGAGTGCATCGATGCATGGCTGGTGCATCGATGAATCAAATGCATTCGATGTTTTCATAAAATCCTCAGTGCATCAGTGCATGGTATGTGCATCGATGCATGAAATACATTCGATGTTCAATTTAATTCATGGTGCATCGATGCATGGATTGGTGCATCGGTGCATCACTCTGAAAAATTGATTTTAGGCTTGATTTTGGTTCAAAATACTTTGTGAAAATTGTTTCAAAAATATATTAAGTATAAAACACAATTTTACACATTTAGTAAGGTTTGAAATTGATCTTAAAAGACTTGGAGTAATAATTTGATATTCGATTAATTATATCGAATATACTTTAGAAAATCATTTGTAAAATCTTAAAATTCATTTAAACTAATTTGTTATATCAAAACAAAAATATTTTCAACACATACGTTTAGATTTAATCAGAATGCACTTAAAATTAAAGAGAATTTGAAAAAATAATGAAATAAAAGATTACATAATAATCAAATTAATTAAAGATTAAAACAATATTATTTTAATTTTCAACTCAAAATTCAAAAATTCAAGTAAAAATGTAAATTAACTCAACTAATTCACTAATTTATCTCTAATAATTCAATATTTTAAAAAATACTTTTTAAGTCGAATCAAATTTCACTTTTATATAAGCGTATTAGGTTCAAGAATCAAAGTCGATTATACATATGCACACACAAACTGCTAACAAACATTACTTTCCAGATAGTGGAGACTGAGAACAGAAGCCTTTTATGTTTTCCAAAAAGAAAAATATATATATTCTCAAGACTTCTTATGTACATGTAAAGGGGAAAATTAGCAAGAAATAACTGAATAGAAAGGAGAATTTCATTGTAGGCTCTAACCAGAAAACAAACCCAAAAAAAACATATTTACATTTAGAGCTCCTCAAACTCTTCCTCATCGCCATCTTCCTCCACCCTTTGAAGCTCTCTCCTCTAAGATTCCATCATTTCCAAAAATGCAAATACGCCATTAGTTACACGCCACTTAAACTCACACCATCAACGAAATCAACGAATGAGACGATTATTATGTACAACACAAAAGCAACCAACAAAAGGAAATGTGAGATACAATATGAGCTAAATTAGTTGTAATGACACCTTCATCTATATGTAAGTTAATGCACTCTCACGCTTCACAATTTGAACCGGAAAAAAATAATCAATTGTACATGATCATCCGAACACCGCAATTGCTCTGCAACAAATATTATGTTCTCATAATCTCCTGGTTTCACTACCTTACCTAAACATTTAGCTACTTCATCGTAGCTAATCATTTCCACCTTGAAACCGTTGCTCATGAAAAGATTTTCCATCCATTTCTGTGTACAGGACAACCAGACATGGGGGTGTTTCCTAAATAAAAACAATATAAGTAAAGAACATATACAAGCTATGGAAAACACAACAGACCTTGTTACCAAATTCGGTCTCTGCCAACCATGCTGGAAACTCTCCCAAGAAGAGTTTATTGAATATTAGGTTATTCCAATGGAACATGAAGAAGCAAACATCTTCTCGAGATCTTTGCACTGATACCTAATTTTGTTCAAGTACATTCTCTCAGAACATGAACTACTTATCCAACACAAAAACCAACCATATATGCAATAAAAATATCAGATTGTCATAATTCCCGACACACAAAGAAAACATATAAAAGTAATTGCTTGTTTCTCTAAAATATATATCATACCATAAATAAACTAAGCAGAATTAAGTTCAAGAGTCAGGCGCCCACCATTCAACTTGTTTTCTTTGTTCCTGTAATCCAACAGATTTTGGACAAAAAAAAGGTTAAAACTCAAGACCGCCAATTCAATTTGTCATTTTCAGTGTTGCTAACTTTATTTATTAGAAAAGGAAAAACTTTTTATTCATATATAAAGATTTCTTACACTATAACCAATCTATCCAGCCTAACAGAAAAACCAGGTTCATGATAATGAATGACATATCTCACCATTCACCATACATCTTCAAGCACCAAATATGATATAAATTAATGTAATTACTCTATTAACCAACAATCAAACTCAAGCAATATCATAAATAGGTTAACAGCCTAACAGTGATAAGCAGAAAAACCATTACATAGGGAGTGAAGAGAATAATTCAACTAGAAGTACAGGCCTGAAAAATTCTCACAAAAGAAAAAAATTAAACACAAACACACAAAGGGAAAGGAAACGAGAAAGCAATTAAAAAGCATTGACCTCTATATTCAATTTTGTATTTTTCGACAGCAAAATGGGTAAAGTAATAAAACTCAAGCACAGAAAGGGAAAAGAACCCATGAAGCAATTGAAAGATTTTTGTTTATGAAACAAAGTCTTAAACTTAAAACCCATGGCATGTAGGACTAAAGAAACCCTAAATAACATACAAAAAGCAACAAGCTTAGTTGGGAAAGCACGAAATTGTGTACTTGATGGACAACAAAATGAATAAAATAGGAAACAAAGTCAGAGAAAGTATGAGTTTCATGTGGTTTCTGGATCCTAACGACGAAACTTTTACTCACCACAAGCTGAAATCAAAAGCATGGAGGTCGAATTCAATTTAATTTTATGAAAATAGACTACCAGGAAAATAATCTAACGCAGAGGAAAAGAATCAATGCAAAATAGAAGGTCGAAAATAGGAATCAAATCCAACATTAGGAAAAGATTCAAGAGGTTTTCGTTAACAGAAATGAAACCACAAAATATGGAAACCAAGTAAAATTATTGGGAAAATAAAAGAAAGAGAGTGGAGGAGAAATCTTACCAGGGGAAATCTTACTGGGAAAACCACGAAGTGGGGAGAATGCTATTTTAGACAACGGGGACGGGAATGAGCAAATACCTAAGGGAGATAGGGATTAGTATTCCCGGAAAAACAGTAAAAAATCAAAACAGTAAAAAAATCATTGTTGGTATTAGTTTTTTACCGGCACTTGGTAATGACGTCCATCTAAACATGGATATATTAATTCGGAAAAAAAAA